TGTAGAAATTCTTCTTTGTCAGCCAGTGCCTGTAGAGAGATCAGAGCTTTCAGGGAGGACAGTGATCCTGATTTTGAGTTCCTGGTGCAAATGAAGCCATGTATCTGTGGTAAGCTGTTGCAGTGACGCATTCCTTTGCTCTGAAATATAAGTGCTTATGTTTTCCATCTAGATTTGTCTGGCTTTTGTCTGGCCACTGATTCTTCTTTTGTTTTTTTTTGTCTACCCAGGCAAAAAGTCTTCTGATTCTTTTTTCTTCTGTATAAATACTTGTGTATTTAGCAAGTTCTCTGCCCCTACTCCAACTGTTATTTGGATAAGTTAAATAAAGCAGTGTCATCTAGTGCTACTAGCATCACTCTTTTCAGCCTGCTAAAGAGAAAGTTGAGGAACTCATTCTGTCAATTGCCTGCTTTCCAGTTCTTTAATCATTCTTGCAGCTGTGATGACTTCCACACATTGGACTTGCAGTAAGAAATGCTTCATACCACGCCCTTGCTCCCACATACTCAGTTTGATTGTCACTGTAAAGACGGCAAATTGTCTTAGTCCTCTAGAACAAAATCAAGCAAAAGTGGGCAGGAAATCATTCTCCATAGAAGATCTACAGTGAACTGGACAGGAACACACATAAAACAGGTTAAGGACAGTATTTCCCTTCTGCATTCAATAGTTTCCTATTCAAGATTATACAAAAGCAATCTAATCCTCTTTTACTATTCCCTTATGCAAATCACTTCCCGGACTTCTGATAGACTTTGGATTTGTCAGCCTTGCCAGCCAGCTTCCCTGAAAGAAGTGGCAGGCAGGAAAAGCCAAATAGCAGACAAAAAAAATCTGAAGTGAAGAGAACTCGGACAATTTCCTGAATTACATCAATGAAGTAACAGTGAGAGCAGACAGCAGCTGGACTGAGAATGCAGAAAAGCAAGTGAGAATCACTGACAACCAATGCCCTGTGGTGACTGCCTTTGTGCTGACTTGGTTACTTGATCTGAATTTGGAGCCTATTCAGTATCGAGATTCAGACCAAGCTCTGGATAGAATAAAGGGTAAAAATACATCTAATCCACCCCAAGACAAGACATCTGTAAGTTCCTAAACCATCTTTCTAACTAAACACAAATTGTTGTAGATTTATAGTAAAAGATGTGATAGGACAGGTGAATATATATTATAAAATGATAGCGTATGCATGTTTTCATCATGTGTGTGGTCTGGTGAATAGAAATTAAATGCATTTGGTCTTATTTGGACTGGTTTAGATATGAAAAAGAAGCAAAGACTGTGTGCCTAGCAGCTTGAATGTTGAAGTTTGAGAAAGTTATTTAAGGAGCAAAGATCTGTTTCTCAAACGCCTATCAGGAAAAATTCTTCGGTGCATCTCTTGGCTTACCGGACCTCCCCCCCCACATCAAACCATGACACCTGGATTGGAAAGTTTGTACAATTAAGGCAAACTAGTTGAAGTCTTTCCGAAGACTGCATTTTGTTCATGTGCTTCTAAATATGATGTGTGAATGCTCTATAGTGTGAACCTAGGTTAAATTCTATGACAGAACCTCAGTCAGTTACAACAGGAGAATTTGTGGAGTCTATTATTAAATTGGTTTTTGGTAACTCACGGTAAACGGTGCAGGAACATGTTGGAAACTGAGGTACAAGTCCACCGGCAGTACTAGAAGGAGACAAAATGCTTATAAAAACAGATGGACTGCTGTGCAGTTATTGCTCTGAGACTTGTGCAGTTTGTAACCTGAAATGGAGACATTGTCATTGATGGAGAAGGTCTTGGCAAAATTTCTGGCATAATGCTTGATAGGAGTAAAAACAGGATACCTTCATCACATGAATTCTGTATATCTTTTGGTATATAGAACACACGTCTAGATATCAAGGAAGACAATATCCTAGAATAAAACTAAATAGAAAAATAATGGATCACTGTTTTTCTTTCCATTTTTTTAATATGAGAAATACAAATTTGGTGGTACTTGGGAGGAGAAGGAAGCACTGGAATGACTGCTGGAGATTGTTCATACAGGGCAGCAGTCCAGTGAAGGGCTGCTGCAGACAACAGCACCTGGGAAAGGAGGTATATGATGCAATATGCACAAATGCCTACTAAGGGGAAAATCTTGGCTCTTTAGAAGTAACTGGTATAGCAAACTGCATATGGAATTCCTTAGCTTGCCTATGTAAATTCAGAACTAACGAAATATTGTTTCTTGCTGTATTTTTATTCCTGTTTGTTGTTTTCCAAACAATAAATGAATGGCACTCTGCTCATATAATCTCACATGTGATATAATGCTGTCATCAAGCAAGGGAAAGAAAGGCAGGAAGAGAAAGGCTCTTTACTATTTGAGTACAGCAATGCAAGAATGTTCCCTTAGATCGTTACCGGAGCAATGCCCATGTTCCTTTTGGTAGTGGATTTCCCCCAACAAGTTTGAAGCAGTGACATTCTTGCACAGAAAGTCAGGACTGTAAACATGGCCATAAATCCATTATACATATGGGCAATATAAACTAAATACGAAAAAAATTCAGGCCAGGAGAAACATTTTAAGTACATATGTGACAAATTCTCACCGTAGCACACAGCATAGTCACCACCACAACATCAGTGACAGACCCTAGCACAGTACACTGATCCCAGAGTTTAAGTCCAATTAGATGAGTTTTTACAAAAAGCTGAGTTTCAAAGGAAAACTAAATTTTTCCAGGGCCGATAGATGAAATCTACAATGTGAGACAGACTGTTCCACTTGATGCTCTGTGTTTCTAAAGAGCATTCAGTGGACCACGAGCTGAGGCATTAGGCATTTGGTTTGCAATTTTAACCAGCCGATCTTTTATGTGCAAGCAATATAAACAGAAAAAAATGTGCCACTTAAACATAGGATCATTTTTAGATCATCACCATATCTATACTATTTACTCTTTTATGTATTTTTTTTATTCTTCCCTTTTTCAGGCTGCTGATTCTAGAAACAAATGGTCGCAGGAGGTTCCTTGTAGGTGTCTGGAAGAGATTTTGCTGGTTTACAAATCAGAACAGTATTTTTTCATTCCAAAATGGGCTCCAGACCTCATTGACTTAATAGCTTTTCCTGGTTCCAAGATAGCAAATCTTTTCAATGCTTGTTTTCCTTTCATTTTATGGAGTTAAGCTGGTTAGGTAGGAAAATAATTTCATGGAGAGAAGGATGTCTCAGAGTGGCATTCATTGCTTAAGAAGTCAGTACAAAAACAGCCTTTGAAAGATTTACTGATTTTTTTTTATTATTATTTTTTAAACACAAAAAAAAAGAAATCGTGGCACCCATTGTCTATTTGCTATTAGATGTTAAGGGAACAGGAACTGTAGTAGCTGCATTTGACTATAAGCACATCACAATGGAAAAACAGAAGTGTGTGAGAATTTGAGACACCCATTGGCTGTCTTATTTAAAGCTTGTCCTAGCAATATTTTTTTCTCCAATTATTACAGGCTATACTGCAAGCCTGGGGAAAGAAGAAAGGGTACTCTGTTATGCTTGCCTATAGATAACTGTTAAATGAGCACTCACTCCTTACTTCTGCCCTCGCTTGCTGCCTCTTCCCTCTTGTCTTTTTGAGGTATGGTCATGAGCAAGAGAATTAACAGAACTTCCACCATATAACTTCACCCTTGTCTTAACCAGCAATGTTTTTGCTCAGTTAACCCTGTTGTAGTTTCCTTTCCTTTGACAGCACTGACTAGCCTCAATTGCTCCTCACCAGCATATGCGGTTTTCTTCTGCTCTAGCATTTTATTATTCTGATGTAACTACATTATTATGGAGTTATGTGATGAGTAAAGTATCTCTGCTATGTATGTGCTAACTAGTAACTCAGCAGAAACAGCAGCATTAGTTCATAGAGTGCAATCTTATTCAATTTTATCCAAATTATTTATTTATATTACTTACGGCAAATAGAATGGCAAGAAAATTCTATTGGTTCCTAGTGTGCATTGAAACAAAGGAGTGAATATTTTCCTTTCTAGGAGAAAGAGTCTTAATGGAAGAACTTACTGAATTCTGACTGAAGTCATATGAAAGTAGCACAGTAAGTCTTGATAGTTTAGCAAGACTTCATCTGTCAGTACAAAGGCAGCACCTCTTGTTAACTTCAGAATATATGTTTCAAAATTCAACCAATCCACTTCCAACACATTACTTATTTCAGTGAAAACTTACTGAAAAGGCAATATAGGTAGAGATTAATATAGCTGTGTCTCCTGTGCCATTTCTGCTTTGTATAATATACAAACAAAGGCAGAACAAATGTTTGAAAAATTCAGTCTTACTCACTCAGAAATATCAGGCTGTTTATGATGACAAGCCAAAATTCAGGTTAAAGATGTGGAAATATATTTATCAAAAAGGAAAGGAAAACTTGGAACTTAGGTGTCAAAGGCAGACTAATGATATTCGGTATGTAAATACTTTTAAATTTTAGTCAATTTAAGGCTCTTCCCTTGCTGCTGCAAAATGAAAGTGCAAAAATTTAAAAGTCGTCGTCTTCCTCTAAAACAGATAAACGTGCTGCTGTTTGTGGCCCTGTTTATTTGCACGCTTTCAGAAGTTAGCTCACTGTTTAAAAAGGAAAAAGCAAAAAGTAATTAATGTATTATTTCTGTATCAGGAAACAGTCAGGGAATATCATCAATAAATATAAAATAGAAAAAAAATACCATCTAAGATATCTTTCCCCAGTTTAAACATAGAAGTTGCAAATTAACATAATCAGGGTGTGATTATGGACAGATGTTGCGTGGTTCCTTGCAAAACCTTGTCAGTCTGCCTTTGAGTGAGCTCTGCTCAGGGTGTGTGTGACTCAAATGCACCGTTTGAGGACAGGTAATACAGGTATATCTTTTAAGAACGTGCTTGTAAACAGTGGAGAAGATTTCTATGCCTTTTGGGTACAATTAAGTTAATATGCAGCTGCCAACTCTTAGTGAATCTTACCTTGGCCAGTTGTGCTTGGAGTTTGTTCTTTGCATCACCTACTTCAGCAATTGGATTATTAAAGGCCAGGTTGGAACTGATGAAATTATTCCATGTCTCCTCAGGTGTGCTCTCCAGTCCAACCTCTGCATCCTCTTGGAGCTTGATAGAGTTGGCCCTGGCATGTTGAAAGCACCTGATACTGTCTTCACTGAATTTAGCCCATGTTGCAGGAACTGAAACACTAGTAGGAAATTCAAAGTAAGAAGAAAACAAAAGATAAAAGTATAGGTGAGCTATATTTTTTTTCAGTGATAATTACACTCAGTTATACTGAGGCTAATTGTTCATCCTTCAAACTGTGCAATCACATACCTCACATGATTCCATTGGTTTCATACCCACTTCTTTTTCCTTTTTTCCTGTATAAACCAAAGATTCGGCAACACCAACTGAAGATTTTGGAGAGCTGTTGCTTCAACAGAATTTTTATGGTTTGCCTGGATATTGTAGCTGCTAACTAAAGGTCTTAGTGGCCCTGGCATCAACTCCAAAGTAGGTAGGTTTATATTTTGCTGTATAAAGAATGACCTTTTCTTGCATACTTTTTGTTTATTGATGCTTAAAAATAGTTTTTCAGGATCACATATGAATGTCAGCAACACAGTTTCTTCCTGTCTTTAACAGATTAGGTGATGGGCTGAGTTCATACAAGCTGAAGTGTGACGCGTTTCTCTGTGTCAAGGTTCAGAGCGTTCATGGCCTCAGTGGATTTGTAGATTATTTAGCACGATCTCCTGTGCATTGCACACCATCAAATTAGATTCAAATACCATCTACCTTTGTGAACCTAGTTTAGGGAAAAAAAAAAAGAAAGAAACCAAAGAAGAAGGATTGTTACACAGCTCTTCACACAGCTCTGGTCTGCCACCAGAGCAGACCTACCTCATGAGATATGTATGGCCTATATAATAAATCATGTGGCTCTGACATCCTAGTAGCCTTCATCATTAGAAGGAACGATAGCAGGAAAATGGATAAGGTGCTGACCTAGGAGTACTCAGAACTGGAATTTTTCTCCCAGCCTCAACATTGTACTTCTGTGTCATTTGGATAAATGTCTCCATTCTCTTACTACTTTATGTATTAAAATGAACACCTCTGCTTTAACTTACACAGCTGTTACAGTTAAATTTACTAACATCTATGAGACAAGCAGAAACAACTCTGCTATGGGAAAGCCTATAAATATACAGAGAAAGACTGAATATAGGGCTCCTGCACTGAGAAATGCCAACCAGGAATGTTCCTGCTGCAATGTCTTGTATGTAAACAAACACGGGATGCTTGGGTTTGTGTCCAAGCTTCACAGATGGCCTTTGTTATCATGATTAACATAATTATGATTATAAATCCCAGACTCAAGTCTTCCCAGACCAGGAATCTGAGGGGCTCTAAACCTGCAGGCTGGGCCCCAGCTTGAAAGCTAGTGCAGCATAAGCTACAGTCTTTGGAGTTAAATTCACCACCTTCTTCAATGCATGGCTTAGCCCACTAGGTCACTTTTCCCTTCACCCAGAAATATTCACTATATTTTATGAAAAGGTACAGATATTTCATTCGCCAAACTGAAACTCTGAGACAAACTTATGCCTGTGTTTAGACTTCTTTCTCCACACAAAACTTCCTTCTAAGAATCATGCCTGTATGTTAAACTCTGCAGGGACAGGTCACTATTTATTGAGTTTCACATTTACTTTAGATTTTAAGTGAACCACTGAGAATAAATATTAAGGGATGCAAAAATAAAATTTGATTTTGTCAGTGCTTGTTAGGGGCTTTTTTTTTCAGTTGTTCATAGGGTATTTCTCTCTCTCCAAACCAAAGTACTGATCTTCCTTAATGAACTGAAATTCTTCACTTATTTAGACAGTTTCAGGTAACCAACATGATACTATGGTGAAGTGCATAAATCAATGCACTAAACCTGAGCTGACATTACAGCTACTGATCCAGACAATCTCAGTGTACTTTCTGCAGGGTATTTGGTATTGGGTTTTTTTTCCGTCTGTGCTCTGATGATTATATTCATATTCTCATCAGAAAATTAAGTTTCCAAGTAGGTTTCCATCTTGACTATTTGAAATACTTAATCTATTCTTTAACATTGCTTTTCCAGATTGTAATTTATCCAGCTGGCTCTGTTGAGGCAGAAAACACCTGCTGTTTTCCTGAGTGCTGCAGGTATGTCTCAGTCTGCCAAATGGTTTCAGGAAAATGTTAATGAAAAATAGCATTTCTTTGGATAATGATTGGTGAGAAAGGAAAAGGGCTGTAAAACTTATCCACATAAATCTGCTTTTCACTAGAGCTGACAAGAATAATTTTATTCATTGCTAATCCTAAAAGTAGGTAGTGTTACTAGAGTCAGCAGAATGCCTGCCAAGTTTCCTTTGGATATGCCCTCATTTCAGTAGTGAATGAGGTGATCTTTTAATGAAAAGCAGAACATAAGTAAACAAATAATACTGATTTTTTTTTTCTCCTTCCAACAAGACAGAGTTGTTGTCGTTTGAGATTGTAGAGTACATTCACCATTCAACTACTGCTTTGTTAAAAGAGTGATAAGGGAACTAACAAGTCATTAGCACAAGAACACTGCCCTCTGTTGCAAGCTGCTGCTCTTCTGCTATTGCTTTTGGATTGGATGCAGGTCTTGATGAGGCCACCACTAATAAACAGTTTTAAAACTATATACAATTGGGACATTTTAGTTCAGTCTGTAATGCTAAAGCTGTGCCAAATCTTTTTGATCATCCTGTTTATTACATATCTCTGCATAGGTTGATGGCCTAATTTCCAAATAACCCAAGCTATTTTTACAGAAAACATATATAGTCCTTGGTGTACACGTGCCTGCTGTTTGCCACATTGCACTTAGCTGCACACCTTAGCTGAACTTTGACTGGATTGGATGTGGTGTTGAAACCTGAAGGCCACAGAAGAGTGTAAATCAAAAGCAGAGGGAGATAGACACACAAAGGAGTTTGAGGGCGAGGAGTCAGCTGCAACACACTTGTAAACCATGGTCCTCTCTGAAATACACAGCTCACTGCACATCAGTGCTGTAGGTGCTGCAGGCTGCCAGCTTCTGCCTGGCTCCCAACAATAGCAGCTATTAGGAGGCATGGAATAATTGAGGATGTTTTTCCTTTTCACACCAAGGAAAAACAGGGTCATATGGAGAGAGAAGCCACTTCTATATCGCTTCTCACAGAGAAGGCTAGGACTTGTGCTGTACAGCAGGGAGCACGGAAAGAGAAGGCTACAACGGCCACTCATGTCCCATCTGCTTTCTCCACTCCATGGTAAAAGTTGATGCTGTCCGATGTGTTCCTCAGGGTAAAGCACCTCCTCATCAATAAAATGGGCTGAGTTTTTGTCAGAAAGATCTTGCTCCAGGGCATGCTGTGCATCTCTGGTGATGCTGTGAAGGGAAAGATTTACCTTAATCTGAACCACCTTTAATGCTGTTGTGCTAAATAATTGATTGCTTTCATTAGCTTCCTACAGTGCTTCATTTTGCAGTTTGTTGGCATTTACAGTGGCTTGGAAATGCTTGGTGCTGTAATTTAGCTAGAGGGAGCTGCTGTACCATTCATCTCTTCTAGCCTCCAGTGAGAATTCCCCAAAGAATTGTGTTTAACTCACTGCATTTAATAATGTTTGTCATTTTGATGACAGACAACCACAAGAGTGAAAAACAACAAGCAGATGTTGTGTGGTGTGGAGGAAAGCCTCAGAGCAAAAGGGAGGAGGTTTTCAGAGATAACCTTCATGCCAGCACAGCTGTAGGTGAGAAAGAAAAGGGCAGACCTGAGTTGTGGTTTCCCATTTCTCCTGATTTGGGGGACAAATTTACTTAGCGTAATTCAAATTGTACATCACTGGAAAATCAGTTTATTTCTGCTCATCTTGATCACAAGGAGGGGAAAGGGGGGGAAGGCCTGGCAGAACTTGGGCTCAAATGAGAGTAATATGGATGAAGAAAGAATCAAAGTCTTGCTCTCCAGTGCATCAGGAAGACAGCAGGCTTACTGACATTTTTTACAAATATTTGTTTCTGCGATGTACTTGTCAATTGGCGTTACTATCAATCTGCCTGAAGTGGTGACAGAACTGAGTCAAAGGTAACCAGAAATGCCAGCCTAAGAGCTCGATAGAGTGCGTGCCACCAGACAGGAACCTAGCTTTTATCTGATCATACACCAACTATATTACAGTAGCGGGATGAACCACAGAAATGCATCTAACCTGACTCATGCAAGTCCTGAGTGCCATTCATAAGAACAATCGTTTGTCAAATCTGCTTATACCTTTTTCTCCTATAATGTAATAATCAAGTACCGTACAATTTTATCTCCCTTGTGTGCGAGTACTTGAACTGTTTCTTTTGAGAATCATGTCATGTCATATAAACATGACTTTTAAGATTTCTGTCAATTCTATGTAGTTAACAGAATGCTGTATTCAGAATAGTTCTACGTAATTAAATAATAATTTAAGTATTATTTTCATTTACTAGAATATTTGTGTACTTTCAAAGAAATAAAATACATTCTAAAGCCTCCCATTACAAAAAATATATATAAATATGCATAAGAATAATTGTCCATTTCATAACTCATCTCATACCTTAGGATATGCTTAGATTCCTGTTTCTTTTGTCAATAATAAATTTCCTTTGAATTTAGTTTTGTAATTAAAAATAAATATTGCCTTTGAACTTTACTCCAGTGTGCCACATAGCAACATCGGCACAACTAAGCTATAATTTTGTGTCCCTAATTTTAATGAAGGATTTCAGATTAAACATGACTTTAAAAAATGAGTCACAGTCATCTTTAAATAGTAAGTATTACTTTTTGGTGGTTTTACATACCAATTCTGCTACTGGTAAGAATTACAAGTGGAAGGCAATGAGCATCGAACAAGCTAAGTCTCTGCTTTTACCTTTGCTGTTTTGAATTTGTCTTTAGGTACTAGCTAACACTGCATTCAGCTTTCCTATCTTTAAAACAGGAATTAAATGTAAAGTCTTATCCCAACTGTTGACTGATTTTTCTGTGCAAGTTTTGTCAATGTTTCTTGACAGTCCTTGAGTATACCAACCTCCTACAGTGGAAAACATACAGTGTCAGTGCTTTCATCAAACTTTGTTTTTGTGAATTTACCCTTTTTATTCTGCATTCCAGATGTTGCAACCATCTCACATATCTCAAATGCAATGTAGAGCAAGAAACAATGTGTTTTGGTCCCTTGCTTCCTCAGTGCTACAGAGTTGTATCTTTTGGCTTGGTTCGTATGGGTTTTTATGTTATATCACACATCTTAGTAGATTCCATGGGATGGAGTCATTCTAATAAACATAAAGTCAAATTTTGCTTGGCTTAAGTATAGTGAAGGTCCTTGAAATATGAACCTTAATTCATTAAACTACCCTGTGTAACTACTACATTTTTCTAGTAGAATACAAATGTTTTCCTAATACTGGAGTAAATTGAAAATACATCCGATTTCAGAAACAGGCTCCCTAAGGAACTATACTGTAATATTCTTCAAAACTGTAAGTATTAGTCAAAGAAGTTCAAAGCCAGGTTCCACTCAGCTTAAAATAAATAAAAAATACTGAAACCAACCATACTGAAAACTATGCAAACGTGGTAACTGCAGTCCCTCAAACAATGTTATTGTGTTCCAGCCCCTTTTCTTTTCAAAAACTCTGTTTTAGCCCAACATACCCTCTTACTTTAGTGTGTACAGTTTTGTGAATTTTGCAACGGGGAATAAAGTGTTTCAAATTATTTGGAAGCCATTAAGACAGCCCAAATTTAAAAATACAGGCTTTATATCTTGTGCAGTATTTGTAGGAGTGACGGCAACTTTAGAACTGGCTTTCCTGTTACTACAGAACGAGCCTTTGTTGTCCCTCATTGTCACTGTCCAGCTTGCTCCCTAGTCAGAGCGGTGCTTGGGGCAAATAGCCTTTATTTTTCATTTTGAAAAACAAGATTTTTCATCCATTCATGTTGAGCATTTAGCAATATTTCATCCTACCCTGGATTCTCATGCTAAATTAACTGCTGAAATACTTAAGCTAATATATATTAGCTCCTTGATTCTTCAGTAAAACTCCAAGTTGCAGGCTGTAGGCTCTGAACAAGCATCTCGGTTACCTAAGTGGTCTGCACATACTTCTGTGTCCAGAAAGCGCTTGAAGCAATGCCATTGTCCCATAATGTTCTTTCCTGGTGTTTTTATTCTCATACACGTCTGATATAACTTCTTTCAAATATGTTAGCAAAATGTTATTTCATTACATTTTTAATGTAAAAAATTTAGCAATCACTACTATTCATCTCATTTTCTTTGTTCAGTAACACTCTATATATAGCAAAGCAGTAAACCAGCGTTCTATATTGTAAGCCCTAAGAACTTCTGACTTTTTATAGACCATAGCCTAGAAAACAATCTTGAGAAATGTTTCTACCTTGTTTTATAATATTAGGAAAGATAGAACTGGACAAGACCTCACAAGGATGCTAGGCTATTCCTTTTTCTCCAGGAAGGATGAATAGAACATTAACCATCCCCAATATCTATAGTTTTTACCAGATTTCTTCCTCTTTTCCCCCTCTCAGTCTTCCAAATAAAAGAAGGGAAGAAATTATTGCAATGTTTTTACCTTGATAAATATTTAGTTAGATTTTTGTTATTTCCACAGTTTGAAAAATAAACCAGTAAGTCTGATCTTACCTTTATGAGGTTCTTTTCCACATCATTATAAACTAAGTCTATACCCTGCCACTTCTTACAGGCCATCTTCAGCTCTCCTGTAAGGTACTGAGCTGACTGGCCAGTGCCTGAGGGAAACTCAGCCTCCTGGAACCTCAAGCAGAAAGGAAGGATAAGAGGGCATAGAAATGTCTTGATAGGTTCCTTTATTGAATGGTGGCCAGGTTTCCTTCTTACTGAGGAGGTACTTACTTTCAGCAAGCTCTGTGTTGATGATAACAGTAAAAGTCATAATATTATACAACAGAGATAAAGACATTTTCATTACCCGTTCCACAGTACAGTCATGAAATAACTAGCTATGTCAAACCTAACTTCAGTGGTCCTTGCATTTCATCTGCAGCACATTGAAGATGCTGCTTTGCTGTTTCCAAGGCCTGGGTCTCTTTCAGCAAACGCCCTAGCTCATAGATAAGCTCAGATCTCCAGAAATCAATGTTGGAGATCCTCTCTCCCAGGTTTCTTCTACTGTCTTCTTGCATCTGGTAAGTCAATTGATCCTTATCTTGCATCAGTCTCATTGAATCAGTGCTCAGTCTACCAGCAGAGTACCTGGTGGCTTTAGAGTCTTTCAGCTGAACCATGTTCATATGGTGCCAGTCACGAGTGTCGCAGCGGTTTGGATGGGTCTGTAGGTTTACCTTGAGTGAAATGAAACAAAATTTTGCTTCAGAGTGGTTCATGTGTATCAGTTAGTGGCTGCAGGGAAATGCAGCAGCAGCGACAAGCCTTCTGAACCAAAACACAGGCTCTGGGAGTCATCTCTTAGGATTGTCTAGTGATGTCTGCAGATGGTTTGGTCTAAAAGGACCAAAAAAAAAAAAATCTTTCCCTCATCTATATTCATCTTCCACAAAGAGATGGGAGAGACCTTCTGATGATGATTTTTCTCCAGTCTAAAAGGTTGAGTAAATTCTCAGTTAATTTATTTTTCTAATTTTTCCTTTCAGCTGTATGACATGTCTGGCAAAAAACTGTTTCTGAAATCCAGTGCTCTAAAATTGCATTGTGACCCATCTTCTGCGCCAAGAATTTTGAACGTCAATAGCTGTTTGTAATTAGGCACTGGATTTCACTATCTAAATCAGCACAGATTTCTTCTAGGATGAATGCAAGGCAATTGTGATTGTTTCTTCTTCTCCAGGTATATAACTATGAAACAGCTTGTTAACCTTTTTTTCAACCTGGGGAAATAAAACATACACGTGTATATACGCAGTACATTACAGCATATCTTGTCTCAGAAAGCCAGCATGACATTACACCCCAGGTAAAAAAAGTAGATGTAATTTTAAATAAATGGTCATAGCAAGTTAAATTTATCTTCTCATGATGTTTAAAATATATACAAATGTAAGTGCTAACTGTAGGGAGGTGAGGCAGGGGCCATGGAGTCACACAGCATGGACAGGCACCAGACTGGGATGTATAAACAGGATAAGATTGATACTGCAGATGCTCACACACACAAACAACTTTCCTCTTGCAGTAACTGATGTTACTAATTCTCAGCAGCTGCCCAGGAGGGCAAAGTGCATGAGAGATTGCAAGAGTGCTGGCAGAGCCCGCTGCCGAGTTCAGCCCGACTCAAACACTCTAAAGCTTGTTTTTTGCCCAGATACCCCTGCACCAAGAGCTCTTGCTGGCTCGGAGAAAGGAGGGTGCTGAGGAAGAGATTTACTTTTCTTTTTTTGGTGCTTTTTGTAGGGAATGTTCTATATAAGCTCGGGAACAGCAAATGATCTGTAGGCCCCAAAAGAAAAATATTTGAACACGTACCTCAGTTTAAAATGTGGAGAGCCCTGCTGACATCAGTGAATTTAATCCGTGTGTTTGAAGGGAAGCACAGCCCTGAAGTGCTGTACCGAGCGGTGGTCTAAAACTGAGCCAAATTTTTCATAGGGAAGGTACAGTATAAATTTCTTAGATACATCTTACTGGCCAGTTCCTCCCACCTCAGACATTTGAATTTGCTTAAACTTTTGGATCTACTTCCACATAACGTTTTTTTCATTAGCTTCTCAGAGAATTACAGAGCAATAAGTACAGAAGTTGTACAAGTATCAGGTGGTGATGAGCACTGACCTGAGGTAAATATACTTGAAAGGGAAAATGGGCAATAGCCTATTTATTAATGATCAAAAAACAGAGGCCAAACTCCTCAAATACCTTAACTAAATGGATTTTAAGATTTTTTTCCTAGGAGTTTTTTTGTAGGTAGACAGTTATTCAGAAGGTTTTGTTTTGTTTTGTTTTTCCCCAGAGTGTTCTTTCTAAAAAGTTTGCCATTGTTGATGTGGAGAGTGTTCATAAAAAAAAATAAATTTGCAGTATTTTTCTCTCAAAAAGACAGATTTAACACCGGGATGTGCTGGTACCTTTCCAAATAATACCAGATACTCTTTTCTATATATTGCACTTCCAAGGTGTGAGACCGCCTTAAATAGTAACTTGAACACTTGTATGATAAAACGATCAAATTTTGGGACTAAACAGTTGGAAATGGGAATACTTGAGACTCCTGTCTGTGCTTAAATCAGGAAAACACCCTTTTCACAGCAATAGAAGGAGGCTTTGTGAGCAGGAAGCATGCTGGTTCACTCCCAGTTCCTCCAAAACCACTGTCCCAACCTGCCTTTCTCTCAAGCTTTAGTGACCATCAGTAGTTTTTAAACTGGAATTCATGGGCCCTGCCTCAGGAGTAAGTCAGTCTGTCTCACGGGGAGTAACCACAACCACAGGGACTGTTGTTTTGAGGCTCGTACCTGTTATGTGCATCTCCAGGAGAAAAACTGACAACTTCTTCAAAGGACATGAATGTATTGTATGCGTTTTCCAAAGCAAAGTGGTTACGCTATTTAGTGCCGTGTTCCGAACACCCGAGTTCTGCTGGTGTAACAGCCGTTCAGACAGCCGCTGCCCCACCTACACTCGGTGGGACTCTGAGCTGTTTGAACCATAATGATATTGTGAGAGCTTTATACATAGGTAATGGGAAAATGAAGGGGAGGTGAAAAGATTGTCAAAGATCTGGGAAAAACATTTTCCTCCTCAGAAGACTAAATGTGGTTCTGCGATTTAGTGCTCATTTCTATGTAGATTGGAAGCGTTTTGAGGCAGGAATTGTCTTTTGCTGAACGTTGGTAGGTATCCCCTGTTAGGGATTCTTTGTTGGTCTCATTGGGTGATTCAGTTTTACCGTTGCAGCTTCCACGCAGCGTTCAGCCAGGTGCGCTGTCGGGTTGTGCTGGGTGATGAGCAGCGCAAGGAATAACCCCCCGTGGGCGCAGGCTGGAACTCAGCTCTCAGGCCGTGATGTTACAGGCAGCAGAGAGGACAAGGCCGTGCTCAGGCAGCCACAGGAGAGGCAGAAAGGGAGCAGTGGTCAGGACAAAGCGGCCGGTAGTAACGTCCAGATTACATCACAAGCTGGTGCACACTTCCTTGGTTTAGAAAATTTATTATTAATTTATTTCATTAGTTTTTACCTACCAAATACAGTGGCTATCTGATTGCTCAGTTGATTGGCCAAGTTAAGGCAGAATAATCTTCCAAATGAAGCTACTCAGTTAAATAGAAATTACCTACCAGCAAGGTAAGAAATTAGTACATTCAAAAATGCTATGAAATATAGAAACGGCATGATTTTACTGAAATTATATGTAATCTCCTAGATATAAAACTTCTGAAACACAAAAGCGT